GGTAGGCATGGTTGACTCTTAACTTTTATAAAGAATATCTCTTTGGATTTGAGACTTTAGTCTTTGCAACATTACAGATCTTCTTTATGCACCAAGAGCTTGTAACACTTCCAAGAGAAAGGAAAAATTGAAATCGCATCATATGACCCCTTTAAATATAAACAACTGGTAGTAGATCCAACCTATGAAATGGCAGTTGTTGAACTGTCATGGCAGTGTGTAACTATTTTATGTTTTGGTAAATTACCGGCTAATTTATGTGAATTTGTATGTTTTTGTACATTCCTCTTACACCCCGCTGATGGTTATGTTTAGGGTTTTGTTGTTGTTGTTGTTGTTGTTTTTAAATCGTACATATCAGTGCGAATCACATCATTCAAATTCATAGAATATCACCACCTTGTAAAATAGTTGCATTTTCTCATGAGAGTTGGATTGACTGAATAATAATTTTGTTCTTCTTGTTTTTATCTTTGTTCTTATAGAATCCTTAAGATTGGGACTCTGGAGTGGTTTCATGAGAATGTACGCTCTCGTTTCAAGCGGTTTGGCAGCGCAAAGGTCATGAATTCACTTTTCAAAAGGCTGAACAGTGACCGTGCCTGTTCTCAAACTGACCTCAGAGGTAGACTTCAAAAGCCTGTTTAATTGAGCAAGAGTCATTCCATCTCAAGTACTCCAAAATTGTAATTTTGGTTGCTTGGCCATTTTTAATTTGCACACTATACACACTATACCACCAAAAAAAATGTTAGGGGTGAGACTTGAATCCTTCCCATTATAAACTGACCCTAAATATGGAACCCTGATCAATCTTGATCATTATATTTGGACTTAAATTTTAAGTCTAAGGAACAAGAATGTGCAAAATCTTTATAAACATACATTTGTTGTGGTTAAACTAAGTAAAATCAATTTTAAAAATTGTGGTTTTGCAATACGAATACATTAAGATTTCCACTCGCAAAACCTTAGGAAAAATAAAAACTCTATCCTCTTGTTGTAAAGAGCATTCAGTTGGACCCTGTTCCAAACATTTAGGTTAGCAAACTTCATTCTATTTGTTCATTTCTAACAGGAATACTAACCATTTAGAAAGCCAGTTAGTTATTAAGGAATGAGATTTGATTCTTACTGTGTCATCTGTTAATGTGAAACAATTTTTGAAGCAATGTCTGACAGATGACTTACAGCAGGAACACTGAAGGCAGAGCTTAGAGGAGAGAGGCCCTCATTACTTTGAAGGATTTAGTGAGGGATCCAGAGGGAAAGAGAGAGAATTGGCTGGGCCGAATCATCCATGTGATTTACTCCTTTACACAGTCACATGTCTTCTTTCTCTCTCTGCCTGGACCTGAGTGTGTCTCTTTTATCCAGTTTTCAAGCTCTTTCTGTCCTAAATACAGAGGTCAGAGAAGGAACATTGTTGTTTGGGTCAAATGAGATTAAAAAAATTACAAAAAGATGTTTTAATAATGTACATGATATTTAAGGGTTGATCACAATGGTGAATAAATGCCAGCAAACACCAACGTGGCTGTTGGAACTGAAATGTTGGGAAATGTAGACTAACTGTCTTGTTTACACTGCACCAAAAACACCAACGTGGTTAACAGCCATTGGAATTTTGTGTTTGTTGAGGCAGCGTAAACTAGCTTTAGCTGAAGCCACTGTTTAATTCCTCTATTGTTGTTTTTAACAGTGGTTGCTTCCTGCAACGAATCACAGCGCACTTTCTGTCTCTTGTCTTCTTATGTTTAACTTTGCATCTCTCACTTTCTGTCTCTTGTCTTCTTATGTTTAACTTTTCATCTCTCGCTGTTCCTCCCTAACCCCCCATTTCCATTACTTAGAGCCTCGAGATGATGACACGCACAGCATGCCTGAAGTTCACAGTGAGTTAAAAAAAATGTCCTGTTCCTTTGTGATATAGGCATTTTGAACGCTGATGTCATGCAAGATTCTAAAGTAATCAGTGAATGTCTTTCATCTGTCCAAACAATACAGCGGCCATCTGCACTCACATTATCTTTGATTTAATAAGGCAAGGAACATAGAGAACAAAATGTCTGTGGAAGAAAAACACCTAACATAGCCATGAAAGAACTGAACAGAGAAGCATTGCCTAAAACATAGCTGTGTAGTTATACAAAGGATATTTTTTCATTAAATGTGGCACTTTCTTTACCAAAAAGAAAAAAGGTTACATTTTAAAATACAAAAACATACAATACAATTAAAATTATTTATAATGTTTTTAATTTCAAATAATAGCTGCTTTTATTTGAAATTAATAGCTGTTTAATTTCAAATATTAGCAGTTATGTAACTTCATGATTATAACTTTATGACATTGCTTTAAACTATACTACATTCTTGCTTGAAAATGATCTCATGGGGCAAAAATTGCTATCTATTTATTTATAATTTGGAACCCATTCTAAATGATGCTTTCAGGATTTAATTAATCATTATCAATATTGTAGCTAAATCTCATCTATGTTAGCTAGCTAGATAATGGTATGGTACCTTAAAAAACATATTTAAATAGTTCTTTAGTTTTGGACACAAGCTTCTACATTTGGAGCTGTGAGAGAGAAAACCATGTAGTAAAAAAAAAGAAGAAAGAAAGAAAGAAAAGAAAATTATTTATGTTGTTACATTTTTAATGACAGATCCAAAAGAACATGCTTAAAACCTCCACAAAGTCAAAAACATAATTTAGAATTTATATTAGTTAAAATCGCCGCCTTGGAATTACAAGGTTCTATCTGCATTCTGAGCAGTTTTGAGATATTGAGCTTCAAAGTTTTTGCGTTCCATAGACTTCTGTAGATAGAACCCCTTTTGTTTTCTAAAACAAAAAAGGCCCAAAATGTACACAGCTTACAAAAGAAACATCACATAATGTACATAAAGTTTCACGGAATAAGAATATGTGAATAACTCGATTGACGAAAATGTGTTCGAACAGTCAGACTTGGTAATCACTACAGCATTTCTTGTCTGAGATCAAAGATTCATGTTTGTAACTCTTGTCATCCACACAGCTGGTTCTCTGTATAGCCAGGAAGATGAGCAGTCTGAGAGGGTCGATGGACGCCACTTCAGCCTGGTAATGTACCATCCCTTAAAACGTCAGAAAATTATGTTATACTGTATAGGGTAAAGTGAAAGTTAGCAGTTCTTTCAGTTAAACAGTAGTGTGAGATCGTCCTCTGGTGTTCAAGTCTTATTTTAGTTTTAACAGATTCATTTTGTTCTTGTTCCCCCTTGTTCTTATTATATGATTTTGATTCCTCACATTGCCACCTGGAGGTGGTTTTGAAGACCACATGTAAACAGGCTATAATTTTAGACAGAATACCAGTTTTAAGGCTATGCTCAGTCCTTGTCTAAATCTGTCTGTTACTCAGCCCTTTGTTTAGTTTTATGGGCCTCTGAGAATAGACAGGAAAGCGAAGAGCGAACAGGATTTGGTCATGATTTGAAACGGCAGGAGCACAGCTTTGAATTTTAAAACAGGGTTTGGCAAAGTGATTGTATATTCAAGTTCAAGTTCAAGTCTGCTTTATTTATATTCCTCCAGTATGAGATTTCATAGGTCAGCTGCCTTTATTTATAGATAGATAGATAGATAGATAGATAGATAGAACTACATATTGGACTACACTGCTACTTTTTGATATTTGGGTTCTAGACAATTAAAAATAACTGGTTTTTTTCTCCTTTAAGATGAGAAAAGGCAGATGGCTACTCCCTGTTGATCCTCTTGATTTTAATCTTGGCATTGAGAACTCTGCTTATTCTCGACCTCCCTTACTTCTGGTTCATTTGTTTGTGTTCTTACACATCTGATGTCACAAATAAGCAAATGTTGTAAATATATCACATGGCAAACACTGAAATACTGAAGCGTGCAAAAGGAACATTTCCCAAAAAAAGTTCCTTCAATGGCAGAGCCAGCTGCTTTGAAAAATGCATTAGATCAGCAATAAAGAATACATGGTTCGCAGTGGTGTGAAAAATTTGGGATTCGTTCACCCATTGTGTAAACAAATGATGTAAAGAGCTCCCACTGAGCATTTTCTGACTGCTAACAGTGATAAGACTTGATTGTTTTCTCACTGAAGCAAATCATCACAAAATTAGTCATGCAAGTGCTAGAGTAACAGTGTCATGGTTTGTTTCCTTTTGATTTCTGTACAGACTCTTACTGATTTGGTATACTAGACCGTATTCATTTTTAATTAAAATCTTCTTAAAGTTTTGTTTAAGCACATGATTTCAGGTATAAGGTCCATGCAATATATGAACATATTTATTTATTTAAAGTATTCAGGTAGCCAAGAGAAAGTTCCCCAGAGTAAGGACTCAGTAACCGAAGACGACTGGTCCACAACCTTTAAGCAGATCCTGGAGAATGGAACTCACGATAAAGGTGATGAGATGAAGGACATGTTGCAAATCAGCCAGAGAAATCTGGACAAACCCTCTCATTTTGGTAAGATGTGCTGTCTGCTTCAATTTCCCTTAAAGATTTCTGAGGATTCATTTTTTTCTAAGACTCTGTAGAGGTGAATGGATTTCTCCTTCAGGCCAGCCAATGTTTTTTCCTACTGTCAGCAAGATTTAGGCTACTTTGTGCTGGGAATATAAACCTAATGCACTATAAGCACAGTAATTATTGTTAAAAACACTACAGAATAGTTACATTAATCAAACTTAATTCCTGACATGACCAAATCCATTCCAGACTATTTGGACTCAGACATTCCTCTTTACTTCATTTCAGTATTTACATCATACAATAACAGCTAATGTTTTGTTTGCACTCTGTAGATGACTGTACACTACTTCTAGAACAGAGGATGACAAAATCTCGTTCCCTCTCCAAGATGAGCATCTCTTCAGCTGGCAGCTCTAATTATCACCTCCACCGCGAGCCTTCTTACAGCCTGGAAGATTCAGAGGATGATGATGATGATGAATCTGAGATACATGTCATTTATAGTCCTGCCCCACATAGGGAGCACTCACCAGATGAGGTTCCTCCACAGGTAAAGTCAAAAAGTCACGACAAAATCTGTGAAAATTATGACTTGTAAAATTGATGTGACATTTTGTCATAATGTCTTTGTTCAAATGCAAAGCTGGAGACCGAAGTCCATTCATACTCCTATAACCTAATGGGGCTTCTCGGCCTCCTTTAAAAACAGTTCATGCAAAACATACATTTTGTATCTCTCTCACTAGATTATTGAGCTCAACAAGCGCATGTCAGCAATTGAGACTCTTCTGAGCCGTTTGGAGCAGAAACTGACCTTACCAGTAACTGGGGCAGAACAAGTAAGTTTAAAGTAAATCTGCACAACCTACAGGTTATTATTTTACAGTTTACAGTTTGTTATTTATTTATTTTTTTGAAAGAAATCTCTTACATTCACCAAGACTGCATTTATTTGATCAAAAATACAGTAAAGATTGTATTATTGTGAAATATTATTCAGTGTCACATGATCCTTCAGAAATCATTATAATACGCTGATTTGGTGCTCAAGAAACATTTTTTATTATTATCAATGTTTTAAAACATTGTGCTGCTTCTTTTTTCAGTATTCATTAGAAATATTTAAAATTTCAGGATTCAATAGAAAATTCAAAAAAATAATATTTATTTGAAATGGAATGTTTATATAAGAATGTAAAAGTCTTTACTGTTTATCAGTTTAATGCATCCTTGCTGAATTAAAGTATTAATTTCTTAAAAAAAAAAAAAAAACATACTGACCCCAAACATTTGAATGGTAGTAATTTACTTTATTACTACTCAGAAAAAAAATCTTTAGCAGAATCCGTATATTGGTTTTACCCTTAAAAAGAGAAACATATCATCAACATTTCAGGATAAGTCCATAAAAGGTCATTCAGCAACTCTGAAACACTTTTACTGATAGGACGCAGTTTAGAAAGAATCACATGGAGACTCTCCTGACTTTAAATCCTAATGTAGTTTTTCTTGTCTCCCTTTAGGTTGAGCAGAAAGAGGAGGATCTGTCTCCAGCTGACTTAGAGGAGCTTGAGCTCCGGAAAAAGCTTGATGAACTTACTGAAAAAATAAGTGACAAAGGCTCATCTGATGAGGAGGATGCAATGAAACCTTCAGAGAACTCTCCAAAGAAAGGAGCAGTTTATTATGCTCCAGCTATGAGAGGAGATTCAGCTGGACTTGAGAATGTCAGACACGAATGGCCTCTTGAGGTTGAGTGGGTAAGATTATGGAAACAGTCAGAATCTAGCACTAAAAATACTGTTAAACATAAAGAGTGAATATTTATTCATGTTTCTTACAAATGCTTGAGTTCAGCCGTGCTTTGGTTTGAACGCACTCTACTGTTCTTATTCATTTTTAATATTATTTAATATTAAAAATTAATATTTAATATACATTTTTAATTTGATGTTTCTAATTGTATACTTCAGAAAGCAAAGCCAACTGTACCTAAATCCTTAAAGAAGCAGAAGAGGGTGAGGTCCTTTGAGTTTAGCAACACAACCAGCTGTGAGTTGTCGCAACTGGAGGGTAAAGTTGCACGGGCAGTGGCCAGCGTCCAGAGCACTCAAAGTGGAGTACGCCACTCAGTCTAAACATTAACATTTACTCCAAATTCCTTCTTCCAACAAAGCCGTAACTCTCCATATCTTGCCTTAACTGTTCGTTAACCATTGCTCTGTTCTTCATGTAAAGGTTACAGATATTCAGAAAAGAATCGCTGCTTTGAGTGCTGCAGGGATGACGGTGGAGACGTCCCGCAGACGGGTATGTAGCAGTCCAGCTGCTCAGAGTCACATATTCCAGTTTAGTTTTCCAGAACCCTGGCTGTACAGGAGCATGTACTGAATCTTTCAGAGAAAAAAATATATATCTATTTTTGACGCATTGTGAGCTAAATTCTGTTGTGAATAAAGCAGGTCTTTGTGGCAAGTTCAGAAAGAGGCTAAATATGGTTTTGTTCTTCCCTTTTTCATTCAGACTCCTCGGCCATCAAGAACATTGCATGAATTTCCAATTAGTAAGTGCAAAGCTTTGTACTGCGTATTCAGTAACATGTAATCTGTTATTTACATTTATTTCACACAATCATCTTTGTGTTGTATAAAAGCTAAAAGCTACATTTGTTTTCATCTTCTTTTGCACTTAATTTTGTATAAATGTCTTTGCAATTATATATCAAAATATTAAACCAAATGCATTTATTTTAAAGATAGCACATGTTTAAAAAAAAAAAAAAACATTTCACAAAAGGCCGTTTGTCTGGTATCAGATTATAAAATAGATTGTTCCCAGATACAAATCCTAATATTTGTAAACCACAATTTGACATTTAAACCTAGTGTTATTTCACAGTGCACAGTGACTTTAATGCATTAAACTGATAGCAATCAGATCCCCTGCTCGGCTTCTGGAACAAATCGACTACTCACATCCTTTGGTCATGAAAGAGCCTATGGAACATTTTCAGTTTGGTTAGGATGTGAGCTGTAATGAAATTGAATTGAATTGCTTAACAGATTGTCTTTTCAGAAAGTCACCAAAAGCTCTTTACTACTAGTCAGTTTCTAATCAAAATTCACTCAGTATTCATGTAAGTAACAACATGAAGAAACATGTCTCATGTACTTATGTTCTTTTTGCTTTCTCTGAAGGAGGCAGCAATGAAGCAAGATCTTTACGGAAGCTGACTTCAGCAAGCTAGCGCTCATTCACATATTTTTAGAAGTCCATGATGGTATACAAACTCATAGAACATTGACGGATTCACATAAAGCATATTTCATATGTTAATAAAATCAGCTGCAAGGGTTTGTGGAATTCCCATCTTAATAATATATAATTAATACTTGCTTTAATCTTTCAGTAGATGAGTGTGTTTTTCTGATAAATGAGAGGCTCACCTTTTTTTAGAATCGAAAATTTCTATTATGCACACAATAGAAATTGTCTATATTACACTTATTAACTGCTGTTGTTTTCAGTGTTTCTGATATATGAGAGGCTCAACTTTTTTTAGAATCGAAAATTTCTATTATGCACACAATAGAAATTGTCTATATTACACTTATTAACTGCTGTTGTTTTGATAAAAACTCAATATTTATACCATAATATAGTCAATATTTAATATCGTAATTCAGATTTCTATGTAGTTTCTTTGGTATATTTCATGAAATATTGTCGGATATATTTTTCATATATAACATTTTTGTTTTTCTGCTAAATAAATATCTTAAACTACACAATTTTCTTTTTCATCACTTTGTCTTCGATGTCAGTTATGTATAAAGGAATCAGTCAACACTTGCACATTGTCAAATCTCAATTCCAACATATGCTGGATTATCACATTCTCCATATCCAAATTACAACATCATTTGCATATTTAGTGTGCATATTTAGGATGTTTTTGAGTACATGTAAGCTGTGCAGTCTTCACCTTCCGCCAGAGGGGTTATATATTGGTGGATCAGTCTATCAGTGGATCCAGACGAGAATATCCTCAACCTCGGAGAACGACTCAAGAAAGATGCTCAGAAGTTTTCTTATACTCACAGCTATGACAAGACTATAAGATCACAAATCCTCTGAAAAACTGCTACCTTGAAGACAAGACACATTTATGCTTCCTCTGCACTAAAGGATCATTTTATCTGACAGCTGAGGATCACAGAATAAGATACCAAGAGGTGAACAGCTTGCCTTACAACATCCTATAAGTGTCAATATATACTACATCCTGTACGTGTAATTTACATAGTATGGTGTATAGAAGACTATTTTACTAAAGTAATTATTTCCAATTAAAAATCCTGTGAAATTACTGTATATACTTGAGAAAATTTAGCAGCCTCAAATAGAAGACATTAATATTAAATTGCCAAATAAAAAAACTAATTATTTTGTGCTAATCTACAAATAGTGTATTAGTTTAGGCCATATTTTGTCATTTATTTTACCACAAATATGTTCTTAGTATCTGTAAAAATAAATCTTTTTTTCTTCTTCTTCCGGATGGCATTTCTTCTGAATGCCATTCATTCATTTTTTATTTTTTAATACAGGTGACACTTCTCTCTGTCTACCGACAGACACTAAGCCATGGCTGTAAATCTGTGTTTTGCTCTGTATTCTTATGCTGTTAGCATGTTTTACCCAGCCTAAACCTCATGATGTTCTACCATTATGCTCAGTGGAGATTAGAGGTATAATTTTACTGACCTGAAAAACGAAATCTAAAATTTAACATGCCTTTGAATTATCACTACAAAATATCAGATTCCTAATACTTCATATTCCTTGTACTATTATTTCTCTGTCGATCCAAACATTGATGCAGTGTGGTATAAAGGCAGAGGAATACGACCTGTCGGGAGATTTGGCCGAAGAATGGCACAAAAAGGTGAAAATTGCCAAATAAAAAAATTAAAAAACTAATTATTTTGTGCTAATCTACAAATAGTGTATTAGTTTAGGCCATATTTTGTCATTTATTTTACCACAAATATGTTCTTAGTATCTGTAAAAATAAATCTTTTTTTCTTCTTCTTCCGGATGGCATTTCTTCTGAATGCCATTCATTCATTTTTTATTTTTTAATACAGGTGACACTTCTCTCTGTCTACCGACAGACACTAAGCCATGGCTGTAAATCTGTGTTTTGCTCTGTATTCTTATGCTGTTAGCATGTTTTACCCAGCCAAAACCTCATGATGTTCTACCATTATGCTCAGTGGAGATTAGAGGTATAATTTTACTGACCTGAAAAACGAAATCTAAAATTTAACATGCCTTTGAATTATCACTACAAAATATCAGATTCCTAATACTTCATATTCCTTGTACTATTATTTCTCTGTCGATCCAAACATTGATGCAGTGTGGTATAAAGGCAGAGGAATACGACCTGTCGGGAGATTTGGCCGAAGAATGGCACAAAAAGGTGAAGGATCATATTTTGGAAAGCACAGGTTCTGCTATCCTGAGGTCCTGACTGTGGACTGACAACTTAATTATAAATTCCATAAACTGATCTTCATCTGTTTTGTGAGAACTTCTTTCAATATCCCTTTCACTCCAATACATTTTGTTTCAAAATAACACTTTAATGTATGGGTTAAATCATTAATGAATAATAAATAACATATTTTTTTTCTGTATTGTGATGTACATCTGAGTGAAACGAATTAGTGATAAAGAAAAAAAATGTAGTTGAATGGAAGCAGATCTTAATGGAAAAAAAAGACATGCATGGATGAATCATTCACAATAAGATAACATACAATTAGAAAATATATAGGGTGAATTTTCATTTCACGCTGACTTTAAAATGTGTCATTGTATTTGTTTAGATAACCTGTTAACAGATGTAGCCTTACTTGGTGACTTCACTGTCTGAAACTACTTACCGTGTTAATGCTACACGCAGAGAAAAAAAAAGACAAATAAAACCATTTAAGGTCTCTTGATTTATACTTTTATCATTTCAGTGTTCTAGAAAGACAGGCTGGTGGAATGTTGAAAAAAACAGTCAGAATTCATTTAAACTATCATAATCTGCAGCAAATGAGTATTAGAGTATATAGAGCTTATACAGCTCAAATCCAATGTCATTCTTTATCCAACAAACATGTTAACTCTGAAATGTTGGAAGTAGCTATCAGCAGCCGCTTTCTCAATGTTGTAACAATTTGTTGTCACTGTGATTGGTACTATGACAAACAATAAATGTGATAAATCAACCCAAATGATGTTAATTAAGAGAGCAATGGTCAGACTGACGTCACTGTAGGTAGAATCTGTCTGTTCTATCTGCTTGAAGTTCTCGAAAGGACACATGAATTTGAAAACTCCAGATGAATCCAAACAAGAGTCTTGGCAAAGGCAGTTCACGTGGTCTGTTATGTGCAAACGCACCCTCAGCACATCCAGCAATGGGTCATGTACTTTCACAAGCACCACTGAGCATTCAATAACGAATTTATACATTAAAACAGACTCTCAGAATCTGCAGGAATGACTTTCAGTGGTGGCCAAAAACAGAGTTGAGGTAAAAACTCAAAATGCTCAGCGGTCCAAAGAACGTTTCTGGATCGCCTCCATAACAACGTTTTTGAGGAGGGCGATTACAGAACGAGGGTCATCACTGCTCACTACAGCACTGCCCGACACGATCATGTTGGCTCCAGCCTAGGAATGTTGGAGTAATGAATAAAGATGAGTAAAACACTTCTTCAAATAATCTCTTGATTTTTTATTCATACAAATGAATATGTGTGCACTAAAGGACAGCTATACCTCAGCACATCTGTAGATGCTGTCTGGGCCAACTCCTCCATCCACTTCAATGTCCAGAGAAGGGAACTGACTCCTGAGCCAGCTCACCTGCAGAGACACGAGCATCTTCAGTGTCCGTCGTCTGAGGAATCTAAATGAGACTAATAGACAGTACACTTGTGTACCTTTGGCATCATATCTTCCATGAACTTCTGACCACCAAAGCCAGGCTCTACAGTCATGACAAGAGCCATATCGATCTGCCCAGCCCACGGTGCCAGTTCCTCAACAGTTGTTCCAGGTTTAATGGCAAGACCAACCTGCATCATAAGAATGTTCTTACAATTTATACTATCAGCAATGCTTGGTCTATTTCAGAATGTAAGATTTTCTTTACTTCTAGTCAGATGTATACATCAAAATCAGAGTTTACTAACACGTCCTTTAAACCAGTTAAATTACTTCTGTTCTGCCCAAATCAAATTCTTAGAAGTCTTACAAAATAACTGCCTTAAACAAAGAAAAAATAAACTACATTATTAGTCAGCAGAGGGCGCCATAAGGCCATAGCAGTCAAAGCAACAAAGAATCTG